CCCCCCCCCCTTTTCCCCCCCCCCCCCCCCCCCCCCCCCCAAACTCAAGGCTCTCAACCACACAATTTTCCACGCTGCTGAACTCTATTAATTTTCTAATGCCCCACCCACTTTTACACCGCAGATTTATTTCACTCACCATTTCAGAAAACAAAAGAAAATATTACGTACCAAACGCACTTGTCACAATCTCATTTAGCGAAGTTTTCCTGAATATTATCTCGTGACATCCGTGTCGTAATCCATTCCTTCATCTTCCCCATTAAAATACAGAGAGAATTTATTTTTGGGGGTTGGAACTGGGGGATGAGGTAAACTATTTTGCAGCTTGTGTTTCCCTCGGCAACGAGTCCATGTGCCAAGTTTCAGCTTGATAGGTTGACGGGAAATGGGTCAATTAGCCGTCAATTTTTTTGCCAGACAGCCAGGAAAATAATAACAAAAGCGAAGTTAATGTTTAGGATTTCAGTACAGCAGATGTTCAACCAGGCTTCACGGTGTTTTAATTGCAATTCTTTGAGGATCCTTATTTTCATGATCAGAACTGGCCAGATTTTCACAATGGGTAGACATTTTGGGGCAATTTTATTATATGTCATGTCTCGCCTTTACACACAGTTCAGATGTCTGTTACGGCGCACAGAATTTTTGAGTTGTACAAGTTTTCATAAATCTTTCATTTGAGGATATAACTAGACTCAACAAAATCTTTCTTTTAAGAACAGTACTTTACTCAAACAAATCTTTCATTCCAAAAATAAAATTTAAAAATTTAAAATGTACATGGATATCATTCCAATTTTATTTTTCAGTCTAGAACTCCTTATATTTAATTATTTCTATTTAAAGCATACGCCTTCTCTGTGAATGTGCACGGTGGTATAACAAGATTTTCAAATCCCCACTATTACGATAGAAGCAACAAAACAAAAACATACACAAAATTCTTGTACACATAGATTACAGTGATGCATAGGTGCATCAGGGCATCAGGGCATCAGGGCATCAGCTGTGCATTAATGTTACCGATCGCCTAAAAAATCATGAATCCATTGACACCCTACCTTCCCTAAATATTTGTTACATTCACAATTAAATCAGAAAGATATGAGGGAAAGGACATCTTGTCTGACGTTAACTTTAAAACACAGCCGGGAATGCTCATGAATGAATAGATAATAGGAGTTTGGAAACATTCCGAAGGCGCCATATTTTTTCCCTAGATATCTTCGCTTAAACAGGTTTTGTGTCTGCATGCATACACATAACACATGTGCGCTTCTGTGCGCTATTGTGCACTACTGTGCGCTTCTGTGCGCTTCTGTGCGCTACTGTGCGCTATTGTGCGCTATTGTGCGCTACTGTGCGCTACTGTGCGCTATTGTGCGCTACTGTGCGCTATTGTGCGCTATTGTGCGCTACTGTGCGCTATTGTGCGCTATTGTACGCTACTGTGCGCTACTGGGCGCTATTGTGCGCTTCTGTGCGCTATTGTGCTCTACTGTGCGCTACTGTGCGCTCCCGGCTTTTCGAAATTGTATAGGATAGATACATAGATTTAATGTATTAAATTGCCCACTCCATACATTATCAACAATATCCACCTCGGCATTCTATAGAATTCTGTATTGAATAGTTCATCCATCACTGCTAGCAAAGGAAATCTTACCTACCGGGACACAGCTCGAAACTTTAAACTTACACACAAACGCAATTTCTATCTTTGAATCACACAAACACCTTTTTTAAAAGCATTATAACCTCTGACGACAGCGACACAAAGAATTCGATTTCACCTTCAGATCCATTCCTTCCTTCCATAACACACCTTACCATCCTCGTCACGGGCGGACTCCATGCGGGCACCAGGTCAAAGGATACCCCCCTGCCTCTCCCCGTACCCAGACAACAGAGGCCGAAGCTTGATAAAATACTTATGAGGATCTTACGCAGGGGCGTAGCTAGAGGGTCTGGCGCCCGGGAACACGATTAATTTTAAAGTGTCTCCCTCTCTTTTATCATCCCTCATACCCAAATATTTTCAATAAAATAATATCAAAGCACATTTTGGCACCCCTAACCAGTCTGGCACCCAGCATGGGCCCCGCAGAAAACTTTCTAGGGGGCGGGGGGCAAAAAAAATCGATTAACTTTCTAGGGGGGGGGCCGCAAAAATTTTTTAGTAATGTTTTAAGGTAGTTTTAATTTACTGTAGCGTATTTGTATGGTGAACGAACGGACAGGACATCAGCTTAGTTACTTTCTCTTTATTTTCTCTTTACTTTAATACATTTTTTGTCTATTTTTGTCTAAAAAAATTGTATCCAATCAATCCAGGGAGGGGGGGGCAAGTGCCCCACCTTGCCCCTACCTGCGGGCACCCATGGCTGCAACACTGTCGGATTAACTTAATAACAGTTTGATTGTACTAAGCTGGCACAGCGTCGACGAACATGAAAACGGGCAGGAAATAGGCACAAACAGTAAATTTACATTAGTAGTACCATATTATATTAGTAGTAAATCACACAATTAGATTGGATTATTTTTCCGTCTTGCTTTATTAAATCAAATCTAAAAATAAAAAGACACAACAAGTACAAAATTATATCAAATATGGATATAAAAATATTTTACGATGAACAAAGCTCATCTCTCCACTCTACAACACAGGTGAAGTCATTTCATCGGAAGCAAATTTATATTAAGAAAGGTTGCTTATTTCCATAAAGTTTTGATTCGTTTCAACAACAAAATTCGACCATGTAACTTTTTTTATCACGTCACTTTCTCCATGGAAAGAAAGTCACCCCACCCACCCACCCCCACTCCCATTCTCAGACTGCCTAAATTACCTAATTGTCATATTTTAAATCCTTTTTAAAAATTCTGGTCGATTTGTATGTATGTAAGAATTTAATTCACAACATAAGTCTAGTGACACTAATATGACACATTTAGAACCACTAAATTAAATTGATTAAACTTAATATTTCATTACAACATCGTATTTGTCACCACCACCCACCCCACCCCCCTTTAACAGCACACACAATTCATATTTTTAAACCATGAACATTCGTTATTGTTAACACTAGGACAATGTATATGCCTATGGACTTGTTTAACCAGTTATCTGGCCAGGATATGAAAACAATTTAAATGAGGTTGCCAGTTTGAACCTCATCTTGACATCCGGTGGATTAGCTAAAGTTTGTGACGCCCTGGGTGTCCTTGATTTTCTTGTCCTGATTTTACAAAAAAATAACAAAGCGTACCGATTACTCATTAAAGAATTAGTTACATTTGAAGTTTACCGAAAATTTCCGCCTGGGCGGACCCCCCCCCCCCCCAAATTGCCCATCTTCCAACAGATGTTGTTCCATCTCTTCTCAAATATTGAGTTTTCATAGTCTACACATGTTGTACCATCTCTTCTCAACTATTCAGTTTTCATAGCCTACACATGTCAGGATTTTCGGCATTTATTTCTTTCTTACTTTAAAATGTATAACTGTGTATATTTACTTAGACTATTTCCTTCTGATAAAAAAAGCCCACCAACAATTCGTTTATTGAAACTATTGAAGGTAACACTGGAGAGAAATTGCTTGAAACTTGTAATTTCAGAGCGGGGCAAATATGTCCGAAAACCGTTAAAAAAATTAATTAATAAACATTTGAACTCTTTTTACATTTGCATGGGAATATCCAAAAACTAAAATTTAACACCCATTTTTTAAATAAAAAATTTAAAACATACAAATGAAGGGTTCAAGGAAAAAACCAGTGATGTCAGTTTGTCAAAATTTCCGTTATCTCCCTTGTGGCTACATTCCATTTAATAGAATAATATGATACATAGGTCCAACTGAAAAGCAGCGTAGTCAATAAATAAATACGTAGATATCTTGATATTTTCATACCTTTATGAGGAATTTTCAAACTTTAAATTCAATTTTCTCCAAACTCTCAAAACCTGACATCAGTGGTTTTTCCCTTGAGCCCTTCAAATTATTTTAAAAACATGGCATCTTACTGGACTAAAATGATTATTTTGATTGTTTTATTTATACAAGTAGCCAATGTTCGTAACTTTGTCAATGTTATTGGCATGACACATGACAGAGCTTTTGTCATGTTACTCTGTCTGAAATATTGAAATAATATGGCCTTTCATTCTTGATAGTGTCATGCTCAAGAAAAGAACGTATTTTGAGTCAGTATTTTAAGCTATAAAGGTAAAAGATGTTTGCTTCATCTATCAGTCTATCTTTAAAAAAAAATAATAATACAATTTAAAAAAAATTGATCAGGGTCGATTTACAAATGATAAAGATGTCTATATTTTATATATTTAAAAATCTATATTTTATCAACCTGCACCAAAATGAGTTCATTTAATTTGTTTCAATATAGTTTCCGTATTTCCGTCATGATCTTTAATTTTAACATTTAAAAAAATATGATATGCAATCAATAAAGGAGATTTAAAATTGAGGGGAGGAGATACTGTTTCATATTGATTTAAATATAAGTAGATGAAGGTTTTTAGCAAACAGTGAAGATATTTATAGAAACATGGTTACATAAATAACTGACGTCATATTACAACAAAGAACAAAAAAGTAAATATATCTTAATTCTTTGTCTGGAGAGTAAACACGCTTATTCAATGCACAGAGATTGGGGCTGGCAGCAGCCTCCTGACAGAAGCCTTCTTATCATGCCCGATAGACTTCTGCCTAGACTTGGAGCCGCTTTTGTCTCGAAAGTCCTTCTTCTCGAGTTGACTCCGCTAATGTATTTTCCAAACGTTTCTGCCGAGACAGCTGCAGCTCTGCTTCAGCCGTTAACCGCCCCTCCTTTGAAACGTCTGCCCCCTCGTCCGCATCAATCCTCTTCTGTCTGGACAGCTGTAGGCCTTCCTCAGCCGCTAACCGATCTTCCTTTGAAACGTCTGCTCCCTCATCCTCATCAATCCGTTTTTGTCTCGAAAGCGTGGACTCGCCTTCAAAGCTGAGTCGCTTCTGTCTCGAGAGCAGTTCTGATTGACCGTCGTCGTCTTCCATTCGCTTTTGCCTCGACAGCTGCCCGAGATTTTCCCTGACAGAACCTTCATTTTTGGAGGTATCTGCCCCACCCTCGAGATCCACTCGTTTCTGTCGCGACAGAGTTTCGTTCTCGAGCGTGCGCTTCTGTCTGGACAGGTCAAGTTCTGATGTGACTTTGTCGTCTGGGGCGATCAGCTTAAAATCTTCGATCAGTGCGGGATATGACGATGTGAAAGAAATCTGAGAATTTGAAAAAAAACGCAGGACGGTTAATGATCTTGTTTTGTTAATAAGTTGTTACATTTATAAAGAATTCTCAACGGCTCGAAAATTTACATTTGTGTTCTGATCATATCTTACTTAGATCCTTTTGGGATTTTTATTACAAATTGTCTTTTTTTCACCCTAGTCTTAATGGGTTGGACACTTATCGCCATGTGGACAAGCAGCGATCCGACAACCCCAGAAAGACTGCCTCAGAAAACTATGTTACCTTCCAACACCACCCCCCCCCAACCCTTAACCAAAATGAGAAAAAAATATAAGAAATAAACCACCAAAACCAGTTATGAGTGCCGAAATGACATGTTAGTGCCCAATTACATACGAGTGCCAAAATGACAAATGCGTGCTTAAATGACATGTGTACTTAAATGACTTATGAGTGCCGAAATGACATATGAGTGCAGAAATGACAGATGAGTGCTTAAATGACATATGAGTGCCGAAATGACATATGAGTGCTGAAATGACTTGTCATCTTACAAACTGTTTAAATTCCTCGCGACCGTCGAAACGTGGCTTTCATTTTGGGATAGAGGAGTAACAGACGTGGGAGGGGGGGTGGTGGCGGGGGAGAGGTGTTTTCACAGTTTCAGTGAGGTTCAATTGTGTCCGATTTTCCCTGCATTGAACCATAGGTCACTTCGTAATTATCTACTTTTTAAACATTCAAAATGAATATGGAAATATTTATTCAGAGAAGTGTAAAGATATAGCTAATACTACCAAGATTGGGAAACAGAGTGCTTGATATCGAGGCTTATCTACAACGGCTAGGGCCGCGGTTCTCAACCTGTGGGTCGCGACCCCTTTGGGGGTCGCGCGACCCTTTTCCAGGGGTCGCCTAAGACCATCTGAAAACACATATCCTTACAGCTATGAAAAAGCAACGAAAATAATTGTGCGGCTGGGGGTCGCCACGACACGAGAAACTGTATTAAAGGGTCGCAGCACTAGGAAGGTTGAGAATCACTGGGCTGGGGGGATCCGTGAATAGAGACAACTAAAACAAAAGGCCATGTACTGGTCCAATTGGAAGGATGTGTTGTTTGAGATAGATGCCGTCCATGCTGTGTAGGCTTGTGTCGACGTTGTGTACGATGATGCACCTTTACCCACCACACCCTGTCAACCACAAGGGACCGGTCTGTACTTCCCGGGTCGATGTCACGTTAATCAGTGAGATCACGATGACTGGCGCCTTCACCTTGGACTATGTAGGTCTATCACAATGAGGCCCATGTCGTTGTATCGGGCGCGAAGGTGGAAAAACAAAACAATAGACCAAGCACGTGCTTATTGAATACAGTGGGAAAAGCGGGAGGTGAGGGGGTGGGGGTGGTTTATAACAATCACATATCTCATTATCGGCTTGCTCATAAACCAGACTGCAAAAACACGTAATGGCTTTTAACACTCTAGAGTGTACATACGGCCCAAATATTAACAAAAGAATTTAAAGGCAACATCTTTGTCAAATTCTATATGATTTGGTTGGGGGTTGGGGGTGAAAATTTGATAGAACGTGTTGTTATCGGGAGCGAGTCTATGTGCCAAGTTTCAATAGGATGACGTCAAAAGGATCAATTTTGTCGCCCGGAGATTTTTGCCTTAAACACAGAAGCACAAGAACAAAAGCGAATTTAATATAAAGAATTTAATAACTATAGTTTCCTCAGCGGACTGATTGCTGCTACAAAGACGTTATCGAAATATACTACAGCTCCCGTAACCTCAAGTTCTCAGCATCTCTCTATCCAAATATACTACATCTCAAGTTCTCAACATCTCTCTATCCAAATATACTACAGCTCCAGTAACCTCAAGTTCTCAGCATCTCTCTATCCAAATATACTACAGCTCCAGTAACCTCAAGTTCTCAGCATCTCTCTATCCAAATATACTACAGCTCCAGTAACCTCAAGTTCTCAGCATCTCTCTATCCAAATATGCTACAGCTCCAGTAACCTCAAGTTCTCAGCATCTCTCTATCCAAATATGCTACAGCTCCAGTAACCTCAAGTTCTCAGCATCTCTCTATCCAAATATGCTACAGCTTCAGTATCCTCAAGTTCTCAGCATCTCTCTATCCAAATATACTACAGCTCCAGTAACCTCAAGTTCTCAGCATCTCTCTATCCAAATATACTACAGCTCCAGTAACCTCAAGTTCTCAGCATCTCTCTATCCAAATATGCTACAGCTTCAGTATCCTCAAGTTCTCAGCATCTCTCTATCCAAATATTCTACAGCTTCAGTAACCTCAAGTTTTCAGCATCTCTCTATCCAAATATACTACAGCTCCAGTAACCTCAAGTTCTCCGCATCTCTCTATCCAAATATACTGCAGCTCCAGTAACCTCAAGTTCTCAGCATCTCTCTATCTCAATATATTACAGCTCCAGTAACCTCAAGTTCTCAGCATCTCTCTATCTCAATATACTACAACTCCAGTGACCTCAAGTTATCGGCATCTGTCTATCCAAATATAATACAGCTCCAGTGACCTCAAGTTCTCAGCATCTCTCTATCCAAATATACTACAGCTCCAGTAACCTCAAGTTCTCAGCATCTCTCTATCCAAATATACTACAGGTTCAGTGACCTTAAGTTCTCAGCATCTCTCTGTCCAAATATTCTACAGCTTCAGTAACCTCAAGTTTTCAGCATCTCTCTATCCAAATATACTACAGCTCCAGTAACCTCAAGTTCTCCGCATCTCTCTATCCAAATATACTGCAGCTCCAGTAACCTCAAGCTCTCAGCATCTCTCTATCCAAATATGCTATAGCTTCAGTAACCTCAAGTTCTCCGCATCTCTCTATCCAAATATACTACAGCTCCAGTGACCTCAAGTTCTCATCATAATTTATTATGCTTAACTTTTTTTCGAACAATGAGCGCGTAGGTCCTCGAGACACGCCTTCATTAGATTTATAAATGACAGCAGGTCACGTGTCCTATTAAACATTCATGACCTTGACAGTGAAATTAAAAAAAAAAAATATTTTAATATGGGGTAGAACTAAAAGGGGCTCTCTTAGAATGGGTCCCCGTGCCGGAAATTCAATTTTTATTTTAATTGATGAACGACCACAGCTTTTACATGTGTCAATATTTTTTTTTTTTTAAATATGAAATCTTTTAAAATTTCGATTGGTATTTAAATCATGGATTTTGTCTGTGCCCAACATGAATAATTACCGTACTGATAAGGGGTTGACCCTCAAATTCAATGTTTACGGGAATTATTTTAAAATCTGGATTTCTTTTTTTTTTAATAGGAGAACTATTTGAAAATTGAATAGTCCTTTTGGGAACTGTTTTTGACAGAGCCCTGAATTTAAATGTATGTAGGCCTACGCTGGTAAGTTTGCTAACCCGATGAGCTCTTGGTATGTTTCCTACTTATATATATATATATAAATGCATATATATATATATATATATATATATATATATATATATATATATTATATATATATATATATATATATATATATATATTATATATATATATATATATATATATATATTTTTTATTATATATATTTTTTTTATATATATATATATATATATATATATATATATATATATATATATATATATATATATATGTATATATAATATATATATATATATATATATATATATATATATCATATATATACACATTTATATATATATATTTTTTAAATGACATATATTATAAGGTCTCAAGATTATTTAAATATTTTTTGTTAACACATAGTCTAAGAACTATTTCTCCTTTATAAATACTAAATGTCCATTGTACCTCGAGCTCTCGATATCTCTCTGACCTTTCGCTATAAGTGTCTATAAATTGTAAATAAACCCACTCATTTGAAAACACTCCCCTTTTTTTTACAATCACTAAACAAACATATTAACAATATCCGATGGAAACTACTCACCGTTGTAAACAGAACTGCAATGACAACATGTCCGGTATTTTGAAATTTAGCCATGGTGAAAATGAGCTCTACCCAATAACATGAAGAAATAATTTCCCCCCACAAACGCATGCGCGGAACCCGTTCGTCTGCTCACACACAGGAAGCCGTCAACTCTTTCAATGAAGCTCACTGCTCAGCTGATCTTGAAATGTTTATTTCACAAACTATTATAACAAAAACACACACTCACAAAATCTCCCAGAACTGTATTCAGAGCTTAATAAGAATTTGCAAAACACCTGCAAATTATAGTTAATCCTTTGAAAAAAAAAGTGTCTTATAAGATTATGCCACTATAATAATACACTAGAGCTCACGAACTTATTACAAGTATCTTTCATTTGTTTTAGAATTACTTTTAGCATTATGATCGCCACCACATTTAGAAAAAAAAAGAAAATACTTGTCTTGAACGGAGCATCAACCTACAACTGGCAGAACTATTACAGATGGTATCGATTTGTGGACGTCTAAGGTACGGGATGAAAATCGAATGCTACGTCTATGCTTCCCCGTCTCCCCTCCCCCTCCCCCATCCCTCTCTATTTCTCTTCCGTTTTGGTCAACACGTCACATGAGTGGGTACACGAGCACCTGGTAGGGTCGTAAATAAAATGGTTTAGGGTGGTCTGATAAACTCCGCATTGCAGTCGTGGAACACAGAGCCTTGAGTCATGGCTGGTGTCACGTTATGACAACGGTGACCGATGGTGGTGTAGGCCACTGTGAGAGCTGATCGAGTCCTAGGCGTGTCGACTGAATAAGTGAAAGACTTGCAACATATAACATATCTTCAATTGCCGGACAACATATAACATATCTTCGATTGCCGGACAATATATAACATATCTTCAATTGCCGGACAGCATATAACATATCTTCAATTGCCGGACACCATATAACATATCTTCAATTGCCGGACAACATATAACATATCTTCAATTGCCGGACACCATATAACATATCTTCAATTGCCGGACAACATATAGCATATCTTCAATTGGTGGACAAAATAATATATCTTCAATTTCCGGACACCATATTACACATCTTCAATTGCTGAAAACATATAGCATATCTTCAATTGCCGGGCAACATTTAACATATCTTCAATTGCTGGACAACATATATTTAATTGCTGGACAACATATTACATATCTTCAATTGCTGGACAACATATTACATATCTTCAATTGCTGGACTGGATATTACCATGTCATTAGCACATAGAGGGCCTAACTAAAATTGTGTTTAAATAAAATTAAAATTTCATCTTATACTGATCGACTTGGAGGAAAAGATTTTAATCCGTTTCTATGTAGACTACTTTTTCGAGAGTATTTCTTTAGTAATAAAGAATATTCCTGCAATAAACAGAGGCCAAAAGATCAACAGAGCAGCCAAAAGATCAACAGAGCAGCCAAAAGATCACCAGAGCAGCCAAAAGATCAACAGAGCAGCCACAAGATCAACAGAGCAGCCAAAAGATCAACAGAGCAGCCAAAAGATCACCAGAGCAGCCAAAAGGTCAACAGAGAAGCCACAAGATCACCAGAGCAGCCAAAAGATCAACAGAGAAGCCACAAGATCGCCAGAGCAGCCAAAAGATCCATACACATACTAATGATGATTTCAATTAAACATCTAGATTTTTTATTCAACCAATTAGTCAATAAGTCCAGGTACTAACTTCATATTTAGCCCGACACAGCAATGATGACAAATCTGGCATTATGTTAGTACCAGAGTAAACAGCTTTTATATGTTCCATTGTCTGCCAGGCCAGAGACGTGAAGGGGGGGGGGGGGGGGGGGGGAAGAGAGAGAGAGAGAGAGAAAGAGGCGGTGGTGCGAAATTGGTGTCTATAAATGGGTCATTGTTGCAAATGTCAAGAGACGATGAGTGGATTATGTACCCTGACAGTCACTGGCCGATGTTAGAAATAATGGGGGAGGTCGGGAGTGAGACGAGAGTGGATGGTAAGTTGGAAATGATAGAATTCCAAACAATTATGTTTTCACCCACCCCCTCCCTCCTTTTTCTCAATTGTTTTGTTGGACAACGATGTCTGAGGTTTTACAGCCAATAGAGTTGGACAACGATGTCTGAGGTTTTACAGCCAATAGAGTTGGAAAATGATGTCTGAGGTTTAATGGTCGATAGAATCAGACAACGATGTCTGAGCTTTTACAGTCAATAGAGAAGGAACAATTTGATTATTTCAGACATCCCTTTGTTTTGACCATTAAACACATATGAAGAATATGTATTTTAATATTAGTTACAAATTATAACTCTAATTTTAACTAATTTTGTTAATCTCCAATAAATAACATTATTTGGTGGGGTCGAAATCCCAAACTTTCATTTATGGGACATGTTCGTAAATTGTCATTGATGTGACATATTTCCAAAGTGTCATCGATGGTTTCGAATGCCCAAACTGTCAATAGTTGGTTCACAGGCCAAAACTGTCATTAGTTGGGTCACAGGACCAAACCGTCATCAATTGGGTCACAGGACCAACCTGTCATTAGTTGGGTCACAGGACCAACCTGTCATTAGTTGGGTCACAGGACCAAACTGCTATTAGTTGGGTCGCAGGACCAAACTGTCATTAGTTGGGTCATAGGACCAACCTGTCATTAGTTGGGTCATAGGACCAACCTGTCATTAGTTGGGTCACAGGACCAAACTGTCATTAATTGGGTCACAGGACCAACCTGTCATTAGTTGGGTCACAGGACCAACCTGTCATTAGTTGGGTCACAGGACCAAACTGTCATTAGGTGGGTCACAGGACCAAACTGTCATTAGTTGGGTCACAGGACCAACCTGTCATTAGTTGGGTCACAGGACCAAACTGTCATTAGTTGGGTCACAGGACCAACCTGTCATTAGTTGGGTCACAGGACCAACCTGTCATTAGTTGGATCACAGGACCATCATTAGTTGGGTCACAGGACCAACCTGTCATTAGTTGGGTCACAGGACCAAACTGTCATTAGGTGGGTCACAGGACCAAACTGTCGTTAGTTGGGTCACAGGACCAACCTGTCATTAGTTGGGTCACAGGACCAAACTGTCATTAATTGGGTCACAGGACCAACCTGTCATTAGTTGGGTCACAGGACCAACCTGTCATTAGTTGGATCACAGGACCAAACTGTCATTAGTTGGGTCACAGGCCAAAACTGTCATTAGTTGGGTCACATGCCAAAACTGTCATTAGTTTGGTCACAGGACCAAACTGTCATTAGTTGGGTCACGGGACCAAACTGTCATTAGTTGGGTCATGGGACCAAACTGTCATTAGTTGGGTCACAGGACCAAACTGTCATTAGTTTGGTCACGGGACCAAACTGTCATTAGTTGGGTCATGGGACCAAACTGTCATTAGTTGGAGCACAGGCCAAAACTGTCATTAGTTGGGTCACAGGACCAAACTGTCATTAGTTTGGTCACGGGACCAAACTGTCATTAGTTGGGTCACGGGACCAAACTGTCATTAATTGGGTGACAGGACCAAGATATAAGCCATTAAACTGTATTCATTAGTTGCCAATGATCAATGAAAGAAACGAAAACAAGCCAATAAAAATCTTATCGATTTCAGGATTGTAAAATTAATGTCCTAGACCACTGGTTCTTAACCTTTTTTGGAGGTAATGAACCCCACCAGTTTCATATGCGCATTCACCGAACACTTCTTAATAGGAAAAATAAAATATGATTCTTTTCTGATTTTTCTTTGGACCTCCGCCGTGGCCCTGAGACTGACTCACCGAACCCCAGGGGTTCGATCGAACCCAGGTTAAGAACCACTGTCCTAGACGGAATGATGAGAAGCTTTCAATTACCTGCTATGCCCTAATCTGCTTTCAGCTCAAAGTGTTGATCACTTTGTCACGTAGCGTAGAAATAGAGGAATTAAACGCACAACTTGCCTAGAAAAGTAAAACCGTTTCATTATGCTGACCCGACGGGAGCCCCTCACAGTTAGCCAGGATTTGGTATTGTTCTTTATGTCGAAGAGAATGTCATACATCTCTGAACCATTCAATTAAACGCCCTTTTCAAACGTCATTTCGAACAAACACATTTTTTTTCCCAAAAGAGATTCAGAAAACTAAGACAAACATTACAAAGAAATGGACCAATGACAAACAATGTTTAAAATATAATTATACGTGAATAGTCTTTTAATAAGATGTTTAAAAAGAAAGGGTCTAGTCTGTAGTTCGGCATTTGTTTTATAACGGGAAAATATCGAGGCGTCAACTCGCCGCACCTTAAAAGACCAACAAATACAGATCGATATTTTAACAAGTAAATTCTATTAAACCTCTCAAAATCAAGTCGTAAACAAATCATTCGGTGTTTTATAACATTTTTAAAATTTAGAGGACTTAAAAATCGGTAGGACTGCTAGTGCTTCCTCTGTTGTCTTCTTTCACTCTCCCCCCCCCCCCCCCAATCCCCAATGCTTTATTTTGACTCCCCCGGTAACTTCAACTCCAGAAATGTCATAAAGAAATAACAACAAAAGTGTTATTAATTGTATTTCTTTGCACGTTCATTTTTTTTGCATAGTCTTTTTTAGCCCCCCCGGTAACTTCAACTCCAGAAATGTCAGATGTGATTGTTCTCAAGTTGACGGAAGTGGAAATCTCGTCACGTCGCCCGACTTCCGGTGTGCCAGAAATCAATGACTCGAACGCTGCAGGGCCAATGACGTCACGGACTGTTAGGCGAAACACGGCTGTCGGCTGGTCAGATATCTTTGGATAAATCAGAACACGGTCAAAGACTCCGTAGCGTGGATGTGATATTGGATCTCTCGGTGTTTGTGTCTACCATATTGCACAAGTTACTTAAAAAAAAAATATTAACACCGTTTACAACTTTAAAGGATTCAGTGACTACGTCATCTTAAATGGCATTTCGTTTAATTATAGGATTTTTAAAAAAAAATTAAATTATAATAATTAAATTAATTAAAATTAAGATTTTAAGACAACCCCACAGAGGAGTAGCTAGGGTCAGAGCCGCCCGGGGCCGGGAAAGAACTTTTCCGCCCTCCTCCACGAAAAAACATCCACTCTGCAGGTCGCCCGGAGTGCCGCCACTCTATATCCTCATTTTATCCAGCCTACAAGAATTGAGCTCCGCCCCCGGCTGGACTAAATATTGATTATAGCTTAAACATCATGTGACACTGACAGGTCAATCAGAGAAGTTCACACGGTTTCTGTGTCATGTGTTGTTACCGTAATGACATGTTTGTCTTCTAATGAAAAATTGGATCCTCAGTAATCAAACAGATGTTACCTAACAGTGGTTGGTAGCATTCATTCTATTTTTAACATTCTATCGTTTTTATTAAAAAATGTCATACATATTTATTGCGCACTATTTCCTCTGCACCACATTACATCACACAGAAGTTCCTCTGCACCACTTTACACCACACCCTACCACAACAACCCCGTCAGAACACATTTTGTTGATAAA